ATATATGCATGTAAATATTTTCAAAATATATACATGCATGTGTGTATTTATATATACATAATAAATATACACATATTATGTAAACAAAAACATTTTGGATGCGATTAATCGTTTAACAGCACAAATATGTATATATATATATATATATGTGTGTGTGTGTGTGTGTGTTATTTATACGTGTATATATTGTACACGGGATAGAGGATACTCTGCTCAAATTTTAATATAATTAATTATTATTATTATTATTATACTATTAATTTTAATAATATAACTATCTCATCGGGTCTGATGTAGGGCTTATTTTGATTTGATCACTAATAATGGTAATGTTTTCTCCAAAATCGTTTTTCAAATTATTTTGAATTTAATTTATTTTTGTGTCTAACACAAAAATATTTATTACAATAACTGCAGTCTGCAGTTACTGTGGCATTTTGAAAGAAAATACAACGGCTCTGGCTGCAACCTGTGAAGTGGGCGGGGCTACGGTGTCGCTCCGCCCATAATCACTCTCATTGGCTCGATCACGTTCTTATGGGAGATTTAGAATAAATTAATTTAATTTTGACACTAATAAACTTTCTACAGAAACAGGACGCAATCATAATTCTGCAACTAACAAACAGCATATCCAGGGACCAGTGAAAAGATTTAACTGTCAAATCTCACGTGAAACCACCCGATGGATGAACATGGAGGCAGCCCAACAAACGAAGAAAACAAGCAAAAGGTGGAGTTTGTAAAGATAGAAGTTTATGTTTTGTATCTGTGTCAGTTTATTGCAGTGTAAAGGTTTTTAAATGTCTTGGTAGTCGATAATGTAAGCTTAACTGTGTTATATGCTCTTGCTTTTTGTCAATTTTAGCTTGCAAAATATCTGATTGACATGGCGCTCGCCTTTTGAAATCTAACTGACAGTGATTACATCATACTGACTGACTTTGTTTGAGATCGGTCTTTAATCAAAAGAGTATAGATTTCCCTTTGAATAATTCTCTTTGTCTATAATGTCTGTTTTCTCTATTCTTTATCACGCATTGGAGGAAGGGTTGCCAGGTTTTCGCTACAAAACCCGCCCAATTACTACTCAAAACTAGCCTGAAAATAGCCCAATTGCTTTCGAGGGGGTCCCTCAGTAAAAATCGCGTTCGGGGGTAAAATACACATTTTATTGGCGGGGTTCTCCTGGTACAATTCACATTCCAGGGTCTAAATATCACGTTATTGGGGTCGCTTCAACCTGTTGACATAAAAAACAACCGACGGCAATCGCGGATTTGGCAACACTGATTGGAGGCACAAAGCTATATTAAACACTAGAATTAGCTATTAGGTAGGCTCAGGCATAAAACTGTAACTAACCAAATTAATCCTAGACTGAATAGTTACTAGTTTTAAACATAATACATTTAGATTTTGTCTGTCTCGTTAGATTTAGCCTGTCTCATTTTAAAAGTCTTGTCCTTCTCAACTGCTGTGCACGTATCCATTAAAATCATACAAGGTCAGAATTTTGAAATAATTCAGTTCTGTAGTAAAACTGTTTTTATTTTTTGAAGAGTTTCAGTACCTATTGTTGTTTACTATTTGTGTCTGATATTTTTATTCAGGAAATACAAATGATCATATTAGAGTTACTTCTAATAGATTTATTCTACCTGTGTGTCAGATTTGTTTGTTATACTTTATTGAGTTTTTTTCTTCGCCACACTTGTTTCCATAGACTTACAGCGTGGACTCAAAGAATGAGAATGAAGAGACAACAGAGGAGACTGAGGACAATCTGGATATGCTGGTGCCTCATGAAGTGCCAGTCAGTATTTATAGATAGACAGACAGATATATTGACTGATTGATTTTATTTGTTCCCCCTATAAACTCCATACTGTAGTTTTGATTACAATTATGCTATTATACAATATGTAAATGGTAATAACGAGGAATGTCCAAATGTTTAGCAGTGTACATGCATACATACAGTACATGTATTTGGCACATGCATATATAAATTAACTGAAGTGCACCAAGACCTCTATAGTACATTCATTTTGAAGCAACTTTGGTTATGTGCAAATGTATATATAGTTATATGTTATAAATATAGAGAGAGTTTTCTACAAGTATGCCAGCAGTAAAATCAAAGCCTCGTGGCCCTTTTCCTAAAGTGATGTACAATATGTGCCTACAATGCTTTTGCTTTCAGACAGGAGTTCTGACTGTACATATAAAGGATTGCAAAGTGTTTCCAAACATCTGTATCCGTATAATTTCCAGCATCTCAAAATAACATTTAAAAAAAGTTTTGCACTGAACTTTTTTTTTTGTCATCGTTTTCCTTGACCACTAATCCATTCTACACAAAAGACTTTCAGTTTTTTCTCAGGATATCTGTTGGTGGAAAGGAAAAGTGCACCAAGCTTCAAAGCAACAAAGATGCCAGAGGAGGCAAAGCAGATTTCTCACTTTGCTTTGATGAGTGGAAATACTTCTCCATCCAGGTTTGTCACTTCCCTGAATTGTTCCGCATCTCCATGGAGTGCACAGTTTCTGATGTGTTCGCTGAATTTATGTGTTCTGATCTGATGTTAGAAGATCTGTATCACACAGTTATGTTAATATTATATACTGTTTTAATATCAAGTTTTATTCGTGAACAACAGTTTAATCCAAAACACTGATAAAATTTATATCCAGCCTTTTTTAAGTTCTCAAAAATTGTGTTTGTGTGATGTGCTTATGTATTTTCACCCAGCTTTATGCCTGTTTTTGAATCTTTTTTTTAATTTATTCAGATACCTGAGCAGAATTCCAGTGCAGTGAATCCCAATCAAATCATGGTGGAGCTTCTTTTCTTTGAGCCAGCAGCAAGAGATCATAAACCAATGGGCAGTGCTTTCTTCAATGTGTTGAAAGTTCTCAATGTATGGCTTTGTTTTTTTGTACAAATTCTCAAACCTTTTGATGACTGACAAATAATGATGAGATTATCTTTATCCAGGAATCCATTGTCACTCACCAGTTTAATGTGATGCTCAATAAGCAGGTAACCACCAGACTTACTGTTGTTTGTGCGTGTGTGTGTGTGTGTGTGTGTGTGTGTGTGTGTGTGTGTGTGTGTTTGACAATATTTTT